TTCCCCATCTGTGCTTGCTTGCTTCTGTGCCTAATCTGCCCTTTTTATATTTCAAAAGTGATCGGCTTCAAACAAACCCTACACTGATCTGGTCTCATCAACACAACAAAGAAAATGTATGCCCAAGTGGGATTACATCCATAGGTATAGGGGCAGAGGAGGATAACCCAATAAGCACAGGTAAGCATAGGTTTACCTGTGCTTATTTACTAATCTGTAGTGAACAATGTTGTTCACTACAGATTAGTAAACACAAGTAAACCCATGCTTACTTTGCTTATTGGGTAACATGTCCCTGTCAGGGACTGCACATTTGAAAAGAGGCTTTGATTCTCTAGGAAGGTGCTGTGGCGTTGAGAGATAGATGCTGGCCAGACCTATAAGCAGAATCTTTGATGTGGTGAAAAAATGTGAAATAGTTTACTACACCCGGGTGGATTAACCAGTAAGCACAGTATACATCTATTTACAGTAAGCAAGGTACGCACGGGCTTACTTGTGCTTATTTACAAATCTGTAGTGCACACAAAAAAAGTGAAATTGTGCACTACAGATTAGTAAGTAAGCACAAGTAAGCCCATGCTTACGTTTCTTATTGGGTAATCTGCCCCTGTATAAGAGTTAGGATTCTAATACATAACAACCACGATTTAATACTTCCCATGATTCTGGGAGTTGACTCAGATCAGCTGGGTGGTTCTTCTGTTCCCAGTGGTGTCGGCTGGGACTATGGCCATCCGGAGGCTGGACTGGATTAGAACACCCGGGAAGGCTCACTTGGTTGGCAGTTCCTCCTCCCCTTCCACACTGACTCTGGGCTAGGCCATGGGACTTCGAATGGCCAATGAAGCATCAGAAAATGTGAGGCAAGAAGAGGTTTGAGAAGTTCTTGCATGTTGGGACTTACCCTCTAGGAAGCTTGAAATAAAACAGCATGTGGAAAGAGGCCCAGCCATCCAAGTTGTTCCAGCCATTCCAGCTGAGCTGCCTCTTGTAGCCACATGACTGAGCCCAGGTGAGACCAACCAAAAAAACCCACGCAATTGTGACTAATAATAAATCATATTGTTTTAAGCCATTAAGGTTTGGAGTGTTTTTTACAGCAATAGGTAACCAATGCATCTTCTTTCTCTTTATAATCTCCACCTTCCAGGATTCTTCTTTTCTGATCCCCTAATCCCACCACAAGGAATCTTGGTGGCACAATGGTTAAGGGCTCAGCTGCTAATCGAAAGGTTGGCGGTTGGAACCCACCTAGCCGTTTGAGGGAGAAAGACTGGGTGATCTGCTCCCGTAAAGATTTACAGTCTTGGAAACTCTATGGGACAGCTCTACTCTGTCATATAGGGTCACTATGAATCAGAATTGACTCCACAGCACCCAACAACAACAACCCCACCACAATCCAGTCACGGTTTCTCAAACACTGCACCAACCTGCTGTCTTGTTCGCACCTGCCTAACTCATGGTGAGAACCAGTATCTCATACACACACTTCCTGGTAATACCCAATAGTCCTCTACCCAATTATATACTCTGTTGTTAGGTGCTGTCCAGTCAGTTCCAACTCATAGAGACCCTACGCACAACAGAACAAAACACTGCCCGTTACTGCTCCATCCTCACAATTGTTATGCTTGAGACCACTGTTGCAGCCACTGTATCCATCCATCTCATTGAGGGTCTTCCACTTTAAAATGATGCTCTAATTTACCAAGCATGATGTCCTTCTTCAGGGACTGGTCCCTCCTGATAACATGTCCAAAGTAAGTAGGACGAAGTCTCACCATTGTTGCTTCTAAGGAGCATTCTGGCTGTACTTCTTCCAAGTCAGATTTGTTTGTTCTTCTGGCAGTCCATGGTATATTCAATATTCTTTACCAACACTGTAATTCAAAAGTATCCATTCTTCTTCAGTCGTCGTTATTCATTGTCTAGCTTTCACATTGTATATCCTAGAGCTCTTTAATATTCCAGTCTTCAATGTGTCAAACTAGTTCTTAGTATTTAATCAAACACTTACTGAGTGTCAACTCTGTGCAACCATCATCCATCTGTCAGTTTGTTGTTCTGTGGTGGCTTTTATATTGCTATGATGCTGGAAGCTATGCCACCGGTATTTCAAATACCAGCAGGGTCATCCATGGTGGACAGGTTTCAACGGGAGCTTCCGGACTAAGATAGACTAGGAAGAAAGGCCTGGTGACCTACTTCTGAAAATTAGCCCATGAAAACCCTATGGTTCACAACAGAATATTGCCCATTATAGTGCTGGAAGATGAGGCTCTAGGTTGGAAAGCACTCAAAATACGCACTGGCCACAACAATGGACTCCAGCATATTGACATCCTGAAGATGGTGCAGGACAGGACAACGTTTCTTCCTGTTGTATGTGGGGTTACCATGAATTGACAGCAGCTAACAACAACTATGTCAGCTCAATCATCTGGGCTTTTTGGGTTCAAATCAATCTGTATAAACACTTGGTCATATATAATTTGTGTACCCCTTGCTGGAAAAAAATTGAATTGGAACCTGTGCGCACTTGGACACAGTGGAGCACGTTCAACAGTGAACAATACTCCCAGACAAATGCCTGAGTATGGTGAAAGGACTGTGCTAGGCATAGTTGCCAGGAAATTTCCCACAACTTGGCAGTTACTTACTCGTTCGTAATCAACAAACTTTAGCAAAGCTGCAGTTAGTTGGCATTTTGTGGGGCCTGTTGATGTGACCACAACACTCAGCTTTCCCCCCTGATGACAGGATGATTCCTCCACCATTTTCTGTTTGTTTGAACATTTTCCTCTAAGCCAAAACTTCCCCAGGATTTTTTTGTTCTGTCTCTTTAAATTTTATTTACAAAGGTGAGACATCAAAGTTCCAGCTCCAGAGATTAGAAGTACTTTCTCCGCCTTCAGGCTTTCCAGTGCTTCATAATTGATTCTTGTCCAGACTTTTTCATTCTTTCGTCAGTTTTCTTTCTTGTTTTCTAATCCTTTTATTTATTTATTATTTTTAACTTAATCCCTTCGTTTTCCTTGGGTTATTTTGATTCCTTTTTTCTAACTGCACGAATTGAACATTTCATTCATTTATTTTGATTCTTTCTTGCTTAGTCATTAATAGGTATGAGCTATTAATTTTCTTTCTAAGCACAGTGCTTTCTACCTTTTGAAGTCCCCTATCCACTCACCATCTCAGACCCAAGACCTGAATGAGCCTTCCCTTACAATCCCTCGCTTAAATAATTTCTATTTCCTTTGAAATCAAAAGCAGTTTGGGACTATTCACTTGACAGCCTATGAGGAGGATGGTACTGTGTTTATTTTCAGAGAATGTTCTTTGTGCCTTAGCAGAGTGCTTTGGCAAAAAGCAATGATAATAACGGTAAATGGATAACCTTAACTGAACGCTTACCCCGTGGCTGGCACCGTACTTTATGCACATTATCTTAACAACTCTATGCCCAGTTTACAGATGAAATAGGTACTCAAGTATATGTTGAGTGTTTCTATTTCTGGAATATGCCCAACATTTAGTTTTAGGGCCCTTTCCCCTTGCCTAGTCACTCTCTCCCATCTTTTAACTCAGTATTTAAGCAAATGTCCCCTCTTCAAAGTCTCCTGGACCCCCAATCGAAATCTAAAACACCTCCCTCCACACTTCACCCGCCCACCAAAAAAAAAAAGTTGCCACCGTGATTCCAACTCGTGGTGCCCCCATGTGTTACAGAGTAGAACTGTGCTCCATAGGGTTTTCTACAATCTTATGGAAGCAGATTACCAGGCCTTTCATCCGAAGTGCAGCCGCAGGGTGGGTTGAACTCGCGAGGACCAGAAAGAAACTTTGTCTTATTCCTAACAGTGTCCCCGCGCATCCTTAGAGCAGTATCCGCCATGCGGTAGGCACTGGATAAATATTTACGGAATGAAGGCATTCTCGAAGGCATACAATGGGGCCTGAGAAGCAGCCAATACTTTGTGGCTCTGCAGAGTAGAAGGAACAAGTCTGGAAGTGTGGCCCTGGGAGGTAAGAGACACCTGACGAGATGTGTGACTTCAAGCGCCTCACTCTTGGGTTTCCTCACCTGTGAAAGGAGAAGGCCCTTTCAGCTCTGTCAGCACTGTGATTCTACCCGATGAACATAAAGATCCGGGTGAAATGTGGGGGGGGGGGGTCGCTCTGTACCAGCAGAGGGCGGAGGGTGGGCGTGGGGACAAGGGACAGGGTGGCACCCTGCGACGGCTGAGGGGAACGGAGTGGCACGGGAGGGTGGGGAGGCGGCATGGAGGGGCACCGTCCCTCCGGCTGGACTGGGCAGAGCGGGCCACCAGCGGGGGCCGATGGGGAGTTGGGGGGAAGGTGCCATCCGAAAGGGGCGGCTAGGGGTGGGGAAGGGCCGTAGGAGGGCGCTGTGGAAGCGGGGGTACGGCATGCGCACGGGTGGCCGAGGGGCACGGAGGGGTGCGGCCTCACGGGTCGGGCCTGGGCCGGACAGGTTAGTACCGACGGTGCCGGAGTCTGGGGGCGCAGAGAGGCGCTGAGGGAAGCAGGTGAGCACAGCCAAGTGAGCACCGGCGACACGCAGGGAACCTCAAGAAACCCCCGGCGGCCGAAGGGAGCCGAGGGGAGCGGGTGGGTGGGAAAGGTGTGTAGGTGGGCCTGGGCGCCCGGGCGGCTCGCAGAGGTCGCCGAGGATGCGCCGAGGGCGTGGCCTGCGCGGGCCA